ACAGCTGAGCTAACTGGATCAGTCAGCTGCAGTTCTGCTACCAGCTCTTCCAACAATTGCATTGTTTTATCTCTGCCCAGGTACACAACCACTTTTTTGATCTGTGTAGGATAAAACACAAATTCTTTCAGATTTTCAAATGAGGTTTTTCCTATTATTTCTACAGACTTTAAATTTTTCCGCCTCCTCAATGAATTAGATTATTGAAGCCAAGGGGTTATTTTGTAGCAGTAACGTACACAGTACTAAATGAAAATCTTTTGCATCATTACTCCATTAAACCACAATTTATGTTATTATATTGTCATAAACAGCAATTAAATATTTTTAAAAACTGAACATCAACTATTACTGAGAAAGGGCAATTTGTCAAGGCTTTTCCTCTTGCACCCATCAGGACAATTCACATTTAATACCAAAGTAAAGGGGAACAACACTTTTATACTGTATGAGAAAATATGACAGGTTGGCAAGTGGACTCCGATTGGTAGAGGCAGGCATTGCCATGGAGAATGTACCAGCTGGCTGATGACTGACAGTTAACTGTCTAGCTTTGTTTAAATTTAAAGCAGGCAGCTCAACTTGGATTGTTAAGGCATTACCCTGAAGCACAACATACAGGCCCTGTTCTTTGTAGTCAGTTAGAACATGTAGACATGCACACTCTACCTGTTTCAAATAAACAAGATAGCATTTTCTGGTTCATTTGTGAACAAAGCACTATACAGCCAATAAAGTTTTATTTTAAGTGCAGTCAATATTGCAGTGTGGAAAATGCAGCAGCCAATTTGCATAGATGCTGTTGTTGGAACCAATGAGATAATGAGCAGACAATCTGCTTTGTTGATATTGGTCAATGGGTTATATATTGGTAAGAACGCCAAAAGAATGGCTATTTTTCATTTAAAATGATGAGAGATCTTTTACCTGAGAGGGCTGACAGAACCTCACTATTACATTCAAATTAAAAAACAGCACTTCCAACATTGGCACACTGCCTCAGCAATGCACTGAAGTATGTTGGTTAGATTCTGTGAATAATTCTCTGGAAGTGAAAAAAAAAAATCACACAAAAACATGAGTTAGGAGCAGGAGTATTCAGTACTCATCCAGCCCCCTGAGCCTGCTCCATTATTCAATAAGATCACAGCTGATCAGATCGTTACCTCAAATCTGCATTCCTGCTGACCCTGATACCCTATCATCCCCTTGCTTAACAAGAATCCATTCACCTTTGCCTTAACAATATTCAAGGGACTCTGTTTCCACCACATTTTCAGGAAGACAGTTCCAAAGACCCTGACCCTCATGACAGAAAGATGATGAAATTGTTTCCTTATTTAAAAGGGCCAATCTCTTTCTTGTCCCAGTTCTTCCACAAGAGGAAAGACTCTCCTTACATCAACCTAATCAAAGGCTTTCAGATTTTGTATGTTGCAATCAAATCACTTCTTACTCTTATAAACTCCAAAAGAAGCAAGCCTAGTCAGTCCAAGTTTTCCTCATAATACAAAACCCTTTAATTCCAGATATTACTCTCGTAAGTCTGCTGTCTACTGCTTCCAGCGCATTTACATCCTACCTCAAAATAAGGTGACCAGTACTGTGCATAGTATTCCAGATGAAGTCTCATGAGTGTCCTCCATAATTCAAGCAAAATTTCCCTACTTTTGTACAATTTTCCTCGTAATAAATGATAACATACTATTAGCTTTCCTAATTAATTGGATGCTAGCCTTTTGCAATTCATACATGAGGATGCCTACATCCCTCTGTATCTGAGCTCTCAATTTCTCACCATTTAGATATGCTTGTTTTTTCTATTGTGGACAATTTCACAATTTCCGACATTATACTCCATTTACCATATCACTGCCACTCAACTCATTATATATAACTTTTTGTAGTTTACTTGTGTCCTTTGTACAACTTACTAGCCCATCTATCTTTGTATTATTGGCAACTTTGGCAACCATACCAACTATCCCTTCATCTAAACCATATACACAAATTTTGAACAGTAGACATCCCAGCACCAATCCCTGTGGCACACTACTCATCGAGGAGAAGCAGTCAAATGTTTCATTACACCATCATGTAGCTGATTTTAAAGCATCACTGCCAAAAACCTGGGATCACTTCAGCCTTCTAAAGGAAATCAAGATATTTGAAATGCCTGTAAGGGAATAAATCTAAAAGACAAAAGAAGGGAAAAATACAGTTACAGCAGAGTATTCAATATCTTGTGGGTGATGCATTAAACTTCAAAAAGACAAACATGGTGAAAAGGTTGATAGGTGGAAGTTGGTCTCTCAACAAAGCATTAGGTGTTGGGCCTAAAGGGCTTCTTCTATTACCAACAATTCTTAATATGCTTCTACCAAAATGACCAGCAGGCATTATGTTAGTAGTGATGAAACCAATAATTGAAAACTGGAGATAAAGATACACAAGGTAAGAAATCACTGGCTGGATTTTCCACTGGCCAGTTGATATTCCAGCATAGATGGAGGCCGCACAAGGGGACTTCCCATCTCAGCACACTTTGATGGAACTGCCCAAGAAACTGAAGATACTGCTGGGCGATTCTTCTATGCCTGGCACCATCAGAATGACGCCATCTAAATTTTATTTTAAATCCATTCAGAGGATGAGGTTATTGCTGGCTGAGCCAGAATTTATTGCCCATCCAAAACTGGAGACGATGGAGGGTTATGACGAAATTAAGTAAAAAAGTTACTCAGAAAAAGTCAGCAAAATTGCAGCAGATGGATGTCAATCTATGCAAGTGTGAGGTTATCCATTTTCAATTGAAAAAGGATAGATCAGGGTATTTTCTAGATGGCATGATGTTAAATACAGTGGATGACCAAGACAATTTGGGGTTCAGGTGTACAGATCTTTAAATTGCTACAAACAGGCCAGAAAATAATCGAGGCATCAACAGAATGCAGGCCTTTATATCTAGAGGATTAGAGTTAACATAGATCATAGAATTGTACAGCACAGCAGTACATTAGCTCTTGATACATGTTAGTAGTGATGAAACTTGCCTTTGATTTAATATTAAAACATATAAACTGTACAGCACAGGAACAGGCCCTTCGGTCACGATGTTGTGCCAAACATGACGCCAAATTAAACTAATCGCTTCTGCCTGCCCTTGGTCCATATCCCTCCATTCCTTGCATGCGCTGATGTAAAAGTCACTTAAATGCCCTTATCCTATCTGCCTCCACCACCACCCCAGTAGGGTGTTCCTGACTCCTACCAGTCTGTGTAAACAAAAAACTTGCCCCTCTCATCTCGTTTGAACTTTCCACCTCTCACCTTGAATGTATGCCCCCTAGTATTAAGACATTTCAACTCTTAAAAAAAGATTCTGACAACCCCATCTATGCATCTCATAATTTTATAGACTTCTGTCAAGTCTTCCCTTAGCCTCCGCCGCTCCAGAGAAAACATCCCTAGTTTTTCTAGCCTCTCTTTATAACTCATACCCTCTAATCTAGGCAGCATCTGGTAAACTTCTTCGGCACCCTCTCCAAAGCCTGCACATCCTTCCCGTAATGTGGCGATGAGAATTGAACACAATACTCTTAAGTGTGGCCTAACCAAAGTCTTATAAAGCTGCAAAGTTCAAGGACGCAGAAGTTATGCTGCAGCTATACAGAACCCTGGCTAGATCCCAGTTGGCGTATTGCGAGCAGATCTGGGCACCACACCTTAGGAAAGGTATATTGCCTTGGAGGGAGAACTACGTAAGTTCACAAGAATGATACCTGGAATTCAGGGGTTAAGATTTGAGGAGAAATTATCCAATTTAGGCCAATGGCTCCTAGAATTTAGAAGGTTAAGAGGTGATCCAATCAAAGTCTTCAAGATCAATATTAGCAGGAAAAGACAGGATGGATAAATTATTTCCACTGGTTGGAGATTCTAGAACTAGGGGTCACAGTATAAACATTAGAGCTAGACCATTCATGAGCAATATTAGGAAGCACTTCTACACACAAAGAGCAGTAGAGGTTTGGAAGTCTCTTCCACAAATAGCAGATGAAGCTAAATCAGTTGTTAATTATAAATATGAGTTAGACAAATTTTTGTTAAGCAAAATCATTAAGTGATATGGGCCAAAGGAAGGTATATGGAGTTAGACCATAGATCTACCATGAATGGTAGAACAAGTTTGAGGGGCTGAATGGCCTACTCCTCTTCCTATGTTACAATCAAATATATAGTCTAACTCCCAAGTAGCTATTGAACTGACCCCATACTTACCATACACATCTCAACCACACCTCCCCAAGATCACTTCTGATCCAAACCACCTTACATCACTCTGTCAGACCCAATTTCTCCCACCCACCCTGACTAATCCTAAACAGTACATCACTTACTTTATCACCATGTACCCTACCCCATTCCACGTGGCACCCTCCCGCCCCATCTTGTATCCTACCCACGTCATCATATCCCTTGCTAACTGCCACCCCACCCAGCTAGCATTCTACCTACCCAGCACTCTAGCATCATGCTTAGCTGATGTATTTATGGTTTGGCAGCAGCTGTCAGAGTGGCTGAGAGGACCTTTAATTTCAGAATATAGCTGACTATTGTGAAAAGGAGCTGTGGTTTGCCTTCCTCTAATAGTCTGCGCTACAAAGAACTGTCAGAATGGAAGTACCGGGCTGCATTTCTGAGGGAGCCCTGAGTGGAATCTCCTCTCAGAAATGTGGAGCTCCCTTCTTTCGTAAAAAAGGACAGACTGGAGTGGCAATCTGCGTGAGCTTTCCTCCCCTCAGAAAACCTGGCTCTCTATCTGCCTAAACCATAACAATAATGCACATTCTTTACTAATATTTCCAGGTTTCAGTTTCTCACTTTCTCTTTCTGACAGACACAAAACTGAAATTGTTTTAAAAATCTATTTTAGCTTGTGGGAAAATGTAAAGCAGCATTTACTCACAGCTAAATTGATAACCAGAGTTTAACCAGTTTTCTTGTTTTCTTTATTCATTCACGGGATGAGGACGTCACTGGCTAGGCAGCATTTATTGCGCATTCTTAATTGTCCAGAGGGAGGTGCAAGTCAACTGCATTGCTGTGGGTCTGGAGTTAGATGTAGGCCAGACCACGTAAGGTTGGCAGTTTCCTTCCCTAAAGGCCATTAGTGAACCAGATGGTTTTTCTGACTCTTAATTCCAGATATTTATTGAATTCAAATTCCACCAGCTACAGTGGTGGGATTCGAACCCAGATCCCCAGGACATTACCTGGGTCTCTGGATTAACAGTCCAGCGATAATACCACTAGACCATTGCCTCCCCTTTATCTTCAAATCAGCGAATTAAATTACTTCCTATTTATATCTTTAGAAGTAAATAACTTTTACTTACATATGGCAGGAGACTGGGCTCACTTGTCACTCCACACATACTGATAAGGAAATGCAGAATTATTTTTAGGTTTTTCGGCCAGCTGTCTGCTAGTGTTGTCCATACGTTTTCTATCTCTGACCATGCTAACTCATCACCATACTGCACAAAAAAAGGCAAATTTCAAGCAGCTTAATAACGACACAAATTTCTCAACATCTCATTATTCTGAATATCAACTTTGCAAAGATTACCTTCTTTGATTCTGGGAATCAAGTGCATTTTCTATGTCTTATTGTCAAAATTGACATTCATTAAGAAGTTTGCATTGTGGTGTGAGCTTTTCTCTTGTCCCATGGAAATTGCAACATTAAAAGCTTTCGACTCAGTGATAGAAAAATTTCTCGTTTAACATTATGGCTATCAGTTTCAGTTAACAACGTGTTAAAAGATTATTTCATGCAATATCTTTCCTGCAGTTTTTAGCTTATTCTGTACTATTAGAATTAAAATAACCTCAAATTCAGCCAGACCTATCTCAATATCCACTCTCCAGATTTGACTGGCAGTTCTAGGTTGGTTGCAATACATTCAAACTTTAAGTGCTTTTGCCCTGCAGGACATGTCAGGAAGTGGAATATTAGAAGGAACTACAAACCATTGTACCATATACTGATTTCAGAATACCACTGATTATCCTCAACACAGCAATGGGGATAATGTTCCACTTTCATTGAAAAGTAACTGGCCTGACATGTTAACTGTTCTGTTCGCTACAGATACCGCCTGAATTGATGAGTACTTCCAGCATTTTCTGTTAATTCACATTCGCACTTTGTTTTTGTAAGAAACAGAACTCTTTGGTGAAAATTCAAAACTCAGTTTGCGATGTTAGTGAAAACTCGGATTTTTGTAAATGTAATTAAACTTTGAGTGCGCATTTATCTGCTTACGAACTGCCTTGAAATATTTTCATGATAACTGCAGATTTGCTTTGGAATGAGATCAGATTTGTATGAGAACACACTTACTTTTGCTGTCATATACATCAGGTTATTTAGCACCATGATAGTAGCCTGTGGAGATCCCCAACCTTCCCCCCTCAGCCAACGTCTGCTGTTTGTCATCATCTCCCTGTCCTTCACATATACTTCATCAGATTCATCCATAGTCTTTGCAGATGACAAGGGTTTGAAATCTACCAATTCAATGTTATTCATCC